TGATTGGCTAAACCTAAGTTTCCTTTTACTGCTTACGTTGAGTTTCAGTTTGCTTATGTGGTATCCAAGGCATCGGAGCCATCCCAGCCTAATGGCCTAAGTTGTTTTTAACACAAGACAATGGAATAAATGAACTACGAAGCCATGAAAAGACAAGGAGGAAAGCTAGATGCACATTATGAAATGAAAGAAGCCAACCTGAAAATGTTCCCTCCTGTGTGATTTCAACTATGGAACATTCTGAACAGACAAAACTGTGGACAGTAGAAAAGAGCAGGGGTTGTCAGAGGTTGGTGGGGAGGGTGAGATGACTCAGCAGAGTACAGAAAGTTTATAGGGCATTGAAATTTTTGTGTGAAACTATAGTGATGGATATATTCGTTATAATTTGTCCAACTCCATAGAATGCACAACACCACGAGTGAACCTTGACATAGACTGTGGACCCTGGGTGATACTGAGTGTCAGTGCAGGTTGACCAATAGTGTCCTGCGCATGTCCCTGGTAGAGAATGTTGATAATGGAGGAGGCTGTGCATGTGTGGAGCAGAGAGCATGTGTAAATCTCTGTAACTTCCTCTCAACTTTGCTATGAATCTACAACTGTTCTAAAAGATAAATTTTTAAAAAGAAAGAAAGAAAACCTGTGATATTCCCAACAGTTCTTAATATTCACTTTTTAAAATTTTTTAGTTGTTAATGGACACAATATCTTTGTTTTTATTTACTTTTTTTAATATGGTGCTAAGGATCGAACTCAGTGCCTCACATATGCTAGGCAAGTGCTCTACCACTGAGCCACAAACCCAGCCCACTTATTTTTCATTTAATAGTGATCTTCAATAGATTTTTTTTCCCTTGTTACTTGAGTCCATGTCTTTGATTTCAGCATTTCATCCAACATCCTCTGAATCTCATAAAAAGAGTTGGAAGGTTTCTTCATGCTGTATCTCTTCAGTTTCTTTATCAGAATTGCTCTTCTTTAATGTCTAGGTGTTCTTCAGTATCTGCAGAGGATTGGTTCCACCCCTCACAGATACCAAAGTCTTCAGTTGCTCAAGTTCCTGATGTAAAATGACCTATTTGCATATAACCTATGCACACTCCCCAGTATAATTCATATCATCTCTAGATTACAGATAATACCTAATCTCAATGCAAACACCACGTAAACATTTATCATACTGCATTGTGTAGGAAATAATGACAAAGAAAAACATCTGTGTGTTTTATAGTAAGTCTAACTATATAGTACACAATCCACTGTTGGTTGAATCTCAGATGCAAAACCTGCCTCTATAAACAGTCAACTCATCAGGCATGGTTGTGCACACCTGTAATTCCAGCACCTTGGGAGGCTGAGGCAGGAGGATCACAAATTTAAGGCCAGCCTCGATAACTTACCAAGACCCTGTCTCAAAATGAAAAAAAAAATTTTGAAGGGCTGGGGGTATAGCTCTGTGGTACAGCACCTCTGGGTTAAAGTACCATTAAAAAAAAAAGAAGAAGAAGAAGCATAAACAGTCAACTACATTTCCTGGAGGTCTTGGCCTGGACTAGTATTGAAAATTCCCTGGAAGTTGGTTTGACATCACATGGCCCAAAGCCTTCATGTTCTGCATACACAGTTCATACTTCTGGTGTGGCCCATCCCACATTGAATCACCTAACAATGACACTCCTTGAGATTAGTTGCAGAGAAAGTCTAGTGCTTTCTGTGACCCCAAATTCCTTATTATACATATGGGAACAATTAATATGTCAAATGTTCATTCAGGTAAAAGATGTGATATCTGGAGGCTGAGGCAAGAAGTTCTCAGGTTCAAAGCCAGCCTCAGCAATTTGGTGAGGTCCTAAGCAGCTCAGCAAGACCCTGTCTCTAAATAAAAAATATTTTTTTAAAAGGGCAGGGAATATGGTTCAGTGGTTAAGCATCCCCAAGTTCAATCCCCAATACCAAAAGAAAGAAAGAAAAAACTGTGATATCTGAAAATGCATTAAATTTCTTGAACTTCAAATTTTTCAAATCTAAACTCTCAGAGATCATATAATGCATTTCTATCTATCATGTTGTATTGTTTTGTTTTTGTTTTTGTTTTATGAGGTGGTGACTCAGGGGTGCTTTACCCCTGAGCTATATCCCCAGCCCTTTTTATAATTTTTGAGACAGGATCTTGATAAGTTGCCCAGATTGGCCTCAAACTTGCATTCTTCTGCCTTAGTCTCCCAAGTAGCTGGGATTACAAGTGTATGCCACCATGCCCAGCTGTTAAATTTATTTTTAAGAGAGACTTGGTCTCTCTTAAACAATGACTTGCTGGTCATTGTTTTCCATCATATTTAAAAAAAAAAAAAGCTAAAAATACTAATATGTAAAGAAGCCTGATCTTAGCTTCCCTCTGGATATTATTTAGTTCCTCTTCTTCTACCTGCTTCCTTCTCTCATTTTTCTTTCTTAAAATCACATTTAATATGGCTTTCATTCATTCCCATCTTATTTCTTCCCAACACACAGAATACAATTTTGTTTACTGAATGAATACAATAAGTGACTGAGAACAATTCAATGTATCTGAGTTAATTAATTTAAAAATCAAGTGCTAGGCACAGTGGTGCAGGCCTATAATCCCAGTGGCTCAGGAGATGGAGGCAGAAGGATTGTGAGTTCAAAGCCAGCCTCAGCAATTTAGCGAGGCCCTAAGCAACTTAGTGAGACCCTGTCTCTAAATAAAAAGGCAAAAAAGGGCTGGGGGTGTGGCTTAGTGGTTAAGTGCCCCTGAGTTCAATTCCTGGTACCCGACCCCCCCAGAAAAAGTAAAAATGCCATATAAGAAGGAGGCCTTCCGTGGCATCAGGATTAAAGAAGACTCTGGTGCATTGAGTTGTTGTCTGCATTTCTTCACCTCTTGTACATCCCCCCACCACCATACCTATAACTTTGCAGTTAACTCCACTAGAGGCAGAATGGACTTCACTCCCCTACCCAGGGCTTTGGCCTGGTATATGTGATTTGCTTTGGCCTATGCTATTAGCAGAAGAGAGATAGAGGCTCACATTTTGCCTGTCCTCTTGTGCTTCTATCTTAGCTATGAGAAGAGCATGCCCCAGTGGTACCCAGGAGAATGCAGGGATGTGGAGACATGGGAGGGAGCCCTGCCCTCCTGGACCTGCTACCCCCATGTAGTGACAACAAATGATTGCTGCTCTAAGCCGAGGAGTTTTTTGTTTGTTTGTTTGTTGGTTGGTACTAGGGATTGAACCCAGGAGTGCTTAAGCATGGAGCCACATCCCCGGTCAGTCCTTTTTTTGTATTTTATTGAGAGACAGGATCTCACTGACTTGCTAAATGCCTCACTAAATTGCTGAGGCTGGCTTTGAACTCTCGATCCTCCTGCCTCGGCCTCCCAAATCACTGGGATTACAGGCGAGCACCACCTGGCCTGGCTAGCTGAGGAGTTTTGAGTTGAGGCAAATTATTCCCCAGCACTATCACAGCCCTACCTAGTCCCAGGATAATTATGGGAGATAGTTGAAATAGGTATCTATAGTTCCGTTTTCTCCCAGCTGGTTTATTATTATCCTCTTCCACAAGCTCCAGCTTTTCTTTTCCAAGAAACATTATCTGTATTTCTCTTTTTTCCCAAAGCCATTTGAGAGGGTTGGGGTTTCATATTTGCCATGTTCACTCACCAGTGAGTGATTTCTATAATGTGATATAGGTGAGTCATTCCGAGACACTCTACATGCAGACATCAGATCCACCTGGAAGGAAGTCTGCTGCACAAAGACTGCAATAACACGTACTGAAAATATATTTAGTGTCGTGTGTGAGTGTTCTGTGCATGCCTTCGAAAGAAACCGTCGGGGGTCAGCTGAGAGTGTCAAAAGAAAAAAGGATTCCAATTTTATAGGGCTTTAACCTTTATTGAGCTTTCTGAAAATATTTTTTTTTAATTTATTAAATGTTTAAAAGAAGGTCAAATTGAATAAAGTCATTTTCTACTATAAAGTAAGTCTCTAGGCAAAAAAAAAAAAGAAAAAAGAAAAAGTAATGATAATCAGGGGATAAAGCAGGAAATCAGAAGATGGCTAAATTATGTACAAACAACCATTGTACATAAACAAACCAAATTTATAAAGATCAGATTTATCCTTTTCCTTTGATTTTTCTATGGTTCTTTTCACATTTCCTTATGGATTCATTTTTTCTTCCTTCCTCCCTCCCCTCCTTCCTTCCTTCATTTTATTTGTTTGTTTGTTTGTTTATATATACCGGGGATCAAACCCAGGGATGTTTAACCACTGAGCTGTATCTCTGGCCCTTTTTAACTTTGAGACAAGGTCTTGCTAAGTTGCTTAGGGCCTTGCTAAATTGCTGAGTCTGGCTTTGAACTTCAGATCCTCCTGCCTTAGCCTCCCAAGCTGCTGGGATTACTGGCATGAGTGGCCACCACACCCGGCTGCCTCTTCTGTTTTAGACCACATCCTTGGCCATCCAGTGTGAGTCATCTGTAGCTGGTCAACTTCTCCAGCTAGCTGCCCTCTTCCTCCCTTCCACAGGGGCTTTTATGCAGAAGACAGCATATGTGAGCGCTGCAGCTCTCCTTGCCAAACATGTGTGGGAAATGCCACCCACTGTCATTCTTGTGAAGGAGGCCTTGTCCTGGACCAGGGAGTATGCCTGAAAGCCTGTCCTGAGAGGCACGTGGCTGTGGAAGGAGTGTGCAAGCCCTGCCCAGAGATGTGTCAGGAGTGCATCCATGAGAAAACATGCAAAGGTACTTGGCTACATCCCAAAGGCAGGGCATGGCCCCAATTAGCCCTCACGGCTCAGAGCCACTACCTGTAGACATTTGGGGGGCAGGAAGGGGTGTCAAAGAGAATTGTGAGAACAAGTCTCTCTGCCTTTACCAACATTTATCTATTTCCAGACCCATTGTTGAGGAAATTGAGGATTCTGCAAATTAAGACAAACAGCATTTCTCACACTCACACATAACGGGTACACAGTGCCAAGCACTATCCCATGCTAGCAATACAGATAAGAACCAAAAGACCCCACTGTTTTTGTTGCTGTTATTGCTGTTGCTGCTGTTGTTGCAATGGGATTTGATTGTGGAGCCCTACAGCTAAGCTACATCACCAGCTCTTTTTTTTAAATTTTGATTTGAGACAGGATCTCATTAAGTTGCCCAGGCTGGTCTCAAACTTGAGATCCTCCTGCCTCAGCCTCCCACCTAACTGTGATTACAAGCATGCTCCACCATGCTTGGCTGTTCCTACTGTTTTAGTGCAGAATATTACCAGAGACTGATTATTAATAAAGTGCAGAGATAGTTAGGGAAATACAATTATTATTAAAAAAAAAAAAAACAAGAAAGAAGACTGAGAATAGCACTCTGGCTATGAACAGGTTTTTTTGTTTGTTTGTTTGTTTTTCTTTTTCCTGAAGTATTATCTCCTGAGAAACACTATCCAATTTCCTCTCCAAAATACCACAGACTCAACTTGCCTGGTGCGGCCCAAGAAAGAAGACTGAGAATAGCACTCTGGCTATGAACAGGTTTTTTTGTTTGTTTGTTTGTTTTTCTTTTTCCTGTAGTATTATCTCCTGAGAAACACTATCCAATTTCCTCTCCAAAATACCACAGACTCAACTTGCCTGGTGCGGCCCAATCCAGAGGATTCTCTTGGTGTGGCCTAAAGTGTTCTCCAGTCTTCCTCCCCAAATAGGAAAAGGAACACAAATAAAATTAACTCACAATGCATTCTTCATACTGATTAACCAGCTACTCATAGATCTACTCTGTTAATGAATGAAAAATCAACTAATCCAACAATCCCCAAACTGCCTTCTGTATAGAATAGGGTGTGAGATACTTGGTACAATTTTTATCCATTTATTATTCATTTATTTTTCAGTCTGGAGGTTGAACCAGGGCCTCATACATGCTAGGCAAGATCACTGAGCTACAAACCCAGCCTTTGATACAATTTTAAATATCTGTTATTGTTTTCTGGATTTTTCAAACAATACCTCCTGTGTCCCAGTCGTCACTGTTTGCCACAGCACTGTGTTGTTGTTTTTTTTTTTTGTTGTTGTTTGTTTGTTTTTTAAATCTCAAAGGGTCATTCCCACACATAAATCCAGGATTATCTAATCAGGCTACCATATGCAGCCTCCCTCACCCAAGGCAGGGCTTGTTAGACACTGAGCATATACTCTTCAGGGTGGGGATGGGGCAAATGTATACTCAGATCAAATAAACCAAAGTGGTGAGAAATGGGCTAGCCCACTGCAAAAGCAGTGAATTCCTTTCTCTAATCCCTGAGGATAACTTACTCCCTCCTCCTCCCCCCAGAGTGCATGCCTGGCTTCTTCCTGCACAAGGACATGTGCCATCAGTCCTGTCCCCAGCACTTCTACCAGGACTTGCACCAGTGTATCCCCTGCCATGAAGATTGTCTGGAGTGCAGTGGCCCCAAGGAGGATGATTGTGAGCTCTGTGCTGACAGATTTACAGTCCTCTACAATGGGCTGTGTTTGAATGAGTGTCCATCAGGAACTTACTATGAAGAAAAGACTAAGGATTGCAGAGGTAAAGATTTCCAGGATGCATGGCCCAGCACAGCATCCCAGGGATCCTAAAGAGATGGTTTCTGCCCAGACAAAACAGGCTCTGGAGTTTGCATAA